AGGTTACTCCCATGACATCTTTAGACTCTTTTTCCACGAGATCGAATAAAAACAAAATAAGTCATGGATAGGGCCCAAATGTTTATGACATAAAAATGTTGGAACAATGCAAGTATTAATGACCTAAAAATATGAAAATGACCATAAATATGTCTTAAACATTTTTTGATTGCATTTTCGAATCCTTCAAAATCTTGCCGTTGCTTAAATATCCATTTTATTGAAAATACTTTTAAAATCTAGCACATTCACAATTCGCTCCTCTTTTGGCGCCTCACGAAAACAATTGTACCAGTTAAAACGATTTATAGAAGCAGTCGCCATTGACACAAAACAAAACCAACATTTCCTTCGTTCTGGTGCTTTCTACGCTTTCTTTTTCTCCCTCTCTCTCTCTCTCTCTCTCTCTCTTTCTCTCCAGCTTATCCTCTCAATTAACGTACATATACATTTACGAGGAAGACAGACAAAATTTTAAGAAATTAGATAACGGTTAGATGTGAAAAATCTCTTTGAGACGACTGCAAGCAAGTATGCGGAAATGGAATCAAAATGAGAAAAACATGTCAAAAAGTACAAACTTTTATGGAAAAATCTGACTATAATACGACAAAGTTACGGAAAACGACCAAAACGTTTAAAAATATGACTGTATATGACACGTGAACGCGACATGTAGTTATGGAACATGTAAAGTAAAAATGGAAAATTAATTGAAGAAATTAATGTATAGAGTGGAGTGGGACATTTAACATCTGATGGAAAATACCTAAACATAATGTTATGGAAGTGTAGAAGAGTGCAGATCTTCTGTAAGTTGAGCTCAGTAATTCGTTTATAATAGTAATCATTATTAAAGCGCAATACCCAAAAGGAAGTAACAACCCAGGTTTCAGGTTTTTCGTTTCCATGATAATTACGAGTATGCGCACTGTGCTATTACAATCTAAGCAGAGAATTAATAGAACTAAGAAACTGTACTTTCGACTTTTGTTTATAATATATTTGTATTGGAATTAGCCATACATCTTCAATTTCAAGGGACCAAGTCACGTTAGAAGCTCTTTAAAGAAACTGAAAAAAAACTCACGAAAATTTGCATTTAAAAATAGATGAAAAGTAAATGAAAAAATATCAATAATTTTTTAACGAATATGCTAATGTCTGGTAGCTTGTTGTATTTTAATAATTATCTGATCTTTTATTAAAAACGCAGTAAAACGAGTTGACTATGTCATGTTAATCAGTTCACACATTCGTTGACCAGTATTTATTTTAAACATTCAATATTTTTATATAAAATGATACCTGTTTTTTATCAACCTGGACTCATTATTAAAAAACAACAATTTGGGTCCAAATGTCATATTTGGACCCATTTTTATCATATAGACAATTAGAAAAATAATATTTTCCTATGTGATTTAATAAAAAGTCTAGATTTTTCATTAACTATCAAGATTTTGTTTCACAAACTACGTTCCCCATTACAATAAAAATGAAAGTTTGCAAACTGACATAGGAATAAAATGTAAGTTTGCGCAAAATCAATGAAAAGAACACCGAAATGACATTTGAATACTTTAAAAAATTTTGAAGTAATTGTGGTCTGAGAATAATTTGAATTTAAACAAAAAAAAAGTTCTTGGCGAAAGAACGAAAATTCCGAGGCGTTGAAAGGTATCCATTTTAAAACTCAGCACTGATGAGGGCAAAAAGACAATTGTGTTGAATGAGCAAAAATAAACTTCAAAATATCTTCTCTCCTGAAATGGAAATTTGAAAGTAATAATGTTACAATGTAACCTCTTCATTGCTCCATCAAATATATCATTTATTTATAAAAGTACTAAAACGGGCGCCGCACAATACAGGTACTTAGAAACAAACGATTGATGATGAAGTATTCGAATTTGAAACCGGCATTATGATTAACGGGAGATCTGATAATGCAAACGGCGACCATATTACAGACAGCTTCAAAAAGTGCGCAGTTCGAATTGCTTTTGATCAACAATGACGAGAGAATGGAGAGATGGCGACGGCAAATCATGGAACCAATGAAATCATTATTGGCGTATTGAAACAAGCATTATCGCAAAGTGAAATAAGTCAATTGTTCCCAGCAGTGACGAACGCTTGTTCACTAACAGTTCTGGCGTTGGCTGTGAGCGAGGAGGATGGACATTAATTACGCAAAGCTGCTAAAGTGTGAACTGTAAAATGCTTTTGTGATGTCTGTGTTGCAGTTTTGCCTATGCGTCACTAATATTCCTGGTGATATGGCAGGACGTCGGTTTGGAAGCACTGTGTTGCTGATTTAAATACTTGTCAGTCAATATCTACTGCTTCAAGAGACATTGTAATATTTATCTAATAATGGTTTTAGTCGCATTTCTTCGCTTTCACTAGTTTATTGACACATTTTTCATTATTTAAGCAAGATTAACATATCCTGTTAATAACCTAATTAGTTTACAATTAGCGGTCTGCAGCAGTAAAATTATGCTTAACACAGTCACGGAAAATGGTTTCCAAAGAGGAGCTCGACACAGCTCAAGAACAATAAATAAATTACTTCTGGATAACGCCACATCGAATTATATATTTAAATTCGTGGAGCTAAAATAGCACGTACTTCTTCGCCCGTACTCTCAGTGCAACTTACGCGATAAGTAATCCAATTTTCGAATGTGCACGCGAAGATTTTACCTATACCTAATAAAACGGCTGATACGCAATAACAATGATACCGCTAAGCAGCTAATCGGTGGTAATGCGGCTCCCAGTGGTCGGAGGGCGTGGCAAACGAGGGCGCGGGGGGGAGGGGGCTGTGGCCAATTAGCCGAAGCCTCTCAGCGGGCTGCGCAGCGACGGGCGACGAGAGATCTTCGTCGGCTGTGGCAATCTCTTGCTTCTCGAAATGACCCCTTTCATGTTGTTGAATGGAAGAAAAAATATCGATTGTCTCTATATTGTCAGCTTTTTTGATAGGATCGATATTACGTCAGAAATGTGTTACGCACAGGGGAATGTCAATCGATTATCATATGCTGGGCAATGCATCAGGCTCATGAAACTATTTGAAGAGTAGATTGTCACCATGGGGCGGGCACACGACGGCGGCGGCTGATACCGCGCTAGCCCATGCTCGAGCTGAAATCACGGTTACCACCTTTCCATTCTGAGATTCCCGGACAAATAGAATCAGTACCAATGACGTTGTATAAAAATTCCCTTAGAAATCCCATGTAATCTAGCTTCCACCGTTATATTTGGGCTTTACAACAATTCTTTTGATGAGTTTTACAAACGGGATATATAATTATTTCAAGAAACAATGGACAGTAATATTAAACACCATTTAATAAAAAATGGAAAGTGCTATTAAAAATCATTTAATGAAAAACAATGGAATGTACTATTTAAGTACCATTTTGAACAAATTTCAAAATATATACAACACATAAGTTTAATATAATCAACATGTAAGTTTAATTCTGTATTGAACTTACCAAACTGTCCATTTTCAAATACGAGGGGGGAACCAAAAATAAGCGGACTGAGAGCGCGCTACCTTTCGTGGACGAAGTAGAGTTTTCTCCAGCTTCATGAAACAACTGTCCAGACGGCGTCGGTTTGTGTAATCGTAGGGCAGTTTTTCTCTTCCCGTTCGAGTGTTCCGCCTGCGAAATCATTATGGCAGGTTTAAAAGAACAAATGGGGTGTTTGAAATTTTGTTCAAACCACGGCCACGGGATCCTACCAAATGCTTCAACAGGCTTTCTAAGAGTATGCTATGTGCAGCACACAAGTTTTCGAGTGGTTTGTGTGCCTTAACGAGATGAAATGAGTGTTGACCTCCATGCTCATTCTGGACGCTCTTTAGCATCTCGAAACGATGAATACGTTCAGAAAATTCGTCCAAGATACGTTACGGCTTCTTGAAACCCTTTCCATCTTATTTCTTTAAGAATCAAGACTTGTAAATGATTGAAAAGCTTACTGTCATTGAAATTAAACCACTTCTGGATATATTCAATTAAACAATCATGAAGTCCCTTTAACTCTGTATGTAATTGTTGTTTCATGTGGGATGTAAGGTGCTTGAGACACACACTACCTTTATACCCATGGAACTCATTTAACCTCTAGTTATCGGAGTAGGCTCCTCAGAATTACATAAACCTGCGGAGAAATACATTTGCCTTGCTCCAAAAACAATATTCTATTATGTAATATTTCTAATATAACTTCCATAATATAAATAAATATTTCCATAATATTCTATTATGAAAATTCACGGACACGCCACAAGTTTTTCCGGATGAATTTCGTTATTTTCGGACGGTTCGGAGTGGTATCGGGGGTGGTAGCCCTGGTTGAAACAAGGCGTAAGCCTGACCAGTAAGCGCAAGTTGTCAAAAAGGCAAACTGACGTCTCGAGACGAATACGTCTCATATTTCCCAGAATCGTAAAAGTACTTGCCAAACAGGCCAAAGGCGACAATTATTCAAACAACAAGGGCGCGCACTCCTAGGAAACCAGCGTCTCTTGCCTGCTTGTTCAGGCTCCCGCGCAGATCTGTCAGAAGTGTTCGAGTCTTCCCCCAAATAACCTCTCCAACGAAAGAAAATTCCCCAACGTTGGAACCAGAAATGTTCTCCAAATTATGAACGAACGACATGGTCTCTCCGATCAACACTAGGCAAATGCCGGAACAGTACCATACCAAAGATCGCTCGTGGGCTTTGCACCACGAGCGATCTTTCCTTCCTCTTCTTGTCCTATCCTCGCCCCCTACTGCCACACACTTTCGCACATGTCGGGAGATCGGGTCGCGAGCTTAGAGCGTGGCCGCTGGAGGGAGGCAGTTGCGCGTGGCGCGGTTTAGGACAACCCTTTTTGGGGGGAGGGCTTGGGCGGCGGGCCAGAGCAGCCCGGCGAGGCGGGGAGGGCGGTGTCGGGGAAGGGGGTGGGGGTGCGGCGGCGCTACTACCGGACGGAGGTGGTGCGCGTCTGCGAGAGCGGACGGTGCCGAAGCCGAGGCGGCCGCGTCGGCGCCAGCAGCGGCACAGCGCCTTGCGGAAGCTCTCCCGGAAGTTGCGCGACATGAAGCCGTACAACCAAAGGATTGATGCAGCTACAACACACCACACGCCATCATCCACAAATTTGATTTCATTAAACCCGATCCGCTCCATTCTTTTTTTCCTCAGATTCACGTCCTCTTTAAATGAACTCCCAACAGACCGGCGCGGAAGATGCGCAGTGTGGCGCGCGCGCTGTTCCCCGCCGGACGAGGCAGACCGATCACACGCCAGCGTCACTTAATTTGGTGACAGTTTTCCGCATCCGATAACAAAGGCAAGGGAACTCGACCCAGAGGGGAGCGAAGACTCCCGAAGGCTTCGAGCGGCAGCGGTCCAAACGCGTCCGACTGCGTTCCCCAATTCGCAGGTAATCAAACGCCGCCAATGCGCTGCCGCGGCGCTCGCCTGCAGGGAAGGTCTGAACGCGCTCGTAAGGCAACGCGTGGCGCGAAACTTCCACTGCGGCCATTCCGCGTAGGCTGCGGATCTCCCGCACCGGTCTGTGGGAGCCTTTAGAGAACACATCCTCATCTCTTCACCCTGCGTTACACGCGCTGGTTGTGACACGAGAACACGCGCGCGGACTAAAAGTCTGCAAACTTAAACCACTATCTTCTGGCAAATTTGAAAGTTGTTGCTCTTGAATTTTTCCTGAATATCAAGGCTTTTTGTAGCGATAAAATCAGTCGTTGAGATTAATAACCATAATAACGTCCCACCATAACGTCTCCTATTACATTATTGTCCTGATTTCCCTCTTGGTTTCTTTATCCAAGCCATATAATATCCCTCTATCTCTCTATAACTTCTTCATTTATTAATCGTTCTCCAATTTTTCGATCACATTTCTCTCCCTTTCACCTTCAGACACCCTACATCTCCCAACATCATCTTTCTTTCAGCTGAACCTACTTCTCATTTTCTTTCCAACTCAGGTTTTGAATTTTTTTAAATTTTTAATTCAACGCGACATATTTTTAAACAAATTTTACATCAGAGCTTATCAGATCAAAAAGTTCCATGCATTATAAAATCTGGCAAATATACGTTATTTTTAACAAGTTTACGGGGTTGTAGCCCTGCCCTACCCCTTCTCGACATAAAATATTTATTTTGTGGGCAAGTCATGCCCAAAAAGCTTTCAAATGAGTCCCTTTTTGTGACGCTATCTCTTACGCTCTGAAGCCCTAATACGCGAACACACCGCATTTGCGAGCCTGTCTGGGACTTTGTTGGACGAACACTGAAACAGGTAAGGCAGGATATCAGTCGCCGCTACTACCTGCTCCATTGTTCGCTCAATGGGAGACAATGCGGCATCAACAATTTTACAAGCAGCGCGAGACAAACTCCTCATGCATGGCTTGCCGTGGCGTACCCAGTTTTATCATTGAGGTTTATTGTGTTTTGGAGACCTTTGGAGTATTCATGCAGCAGAAAATCCAAATTTTTATTATCTATTCATGAAATGGAATGAAATTTACACAATTGATTAAGCCGACTATTCCACTCGTGAAATAATAGCCATTAGTGTTTAACTATACATATAAAATTCCCCAAACAGAGCGGTGTATCTCAAAACGTTTATCGCTTTTTCAATCTGATTTTTCTTACTGCTTCTCCCTACTGGCCAATCATAAACTGTGACACTTGTATCTTAGGGAGTGCTATATATCGATCGCTATGTCGATGTTCAATAAAACGAGTAAATGCTATAACATAACCCTCATTGATTTTAACAAAGCTTTCAGTTATTTTCAATATTTGGCGTGGTTTGGAACTCTGTTGGACATAATTTCATCCTATTATATGCCACTTATGTTTTGTAAATTCGTAGATAAGTCCCTTCCTTCCTCCACGAGTCGAGGATTTAACGACAATTTACAAAGCACTCTTAGTATTACCTATGATAATTGCAGAACTTACAAAAATATGTTTTTATAAATATTTTTTGAAAAGTAAGCATATTACACACCATGTACAGTTTTATAATTTTTGTATGCGTAATTGAATAATACAATTAATAGAAATTTATGTTATTTTTTCATTTTCATTTAGAGAATAAGAACATGGTATAGAATAAATATATTTTTTTCCATTCCTATGTTTTTTAATTTGTAAAATTTTAATTACATTTTTAAATTAGTAATTGATTAAATACATCTAGTGTTAAACTTTTTGTAAAAAAAGGTAATGTGAATGTAAGCAAAGGAAACCTCCGCGGGAGCACTTCGTCTTTCCTCCCCCATTGGTTCACGCAATCGCAACACACCGTGTTGATGCAGCAGCCCCTATTTTGCGTCCTGCCGCTCAGCTGGCGTATGTCGAACTCAAAGGACCTTTCTGTGCGATGTGGCGCCACCCGCTGTGACTTCTCTGCCGAGTCAACACGCGTGTGACACCGAGTGCGACAGGCGTGGGGTAATGAGCACATCCTTTTACGAAGCTGCGTCGAAAACTAAGCACCCGCAGAAAACAGCAGTAGAGCACTTCCTGACGCACACATGGGCGCAGATCTCATTCTGTCCCCTTTTAAGGTAAGCGGGTACCAAGAAACGGGCTAAACAAATGGTTCAAACCTTGCGCTTTCCAGATATAAAAAAAACATTTTTCTGTTGGGACGCCTGAAAGTCCCTTTAATTCTTGTTAAATGTCTAGATGCGCATGAGCCACGCGCCCTTTCTTGGCACTGCATTCAATTATCCCTACATTTCTTTTTTGTAATTTTGCATTGTTAGGTTTTTAATGAGTTATTGAAACTTGCTCTTGTTAATACGTTGATAGATTTTGTATTTTCCACTGAAGGACCTGATCCAGAATATGGAGTAGAAATGGTCTAGTAGAGCAGTAATAAGTACCAACTTTTCAAATGGCGTTTGCCGGAAATGCACTTATTTTGTAATTAATGAACATACTCTCAGAAAATATTATTCATAATTAATTACAATTTACAGGATACATTCTTCATACTATCAGCAATAATTTAACATTTTTATATAAATATTCTTCGGTAATAAAATTATTAAAAATAATGTTTTTACCCAAAAACGCTGAAAACATTAGGGCAAAAGTTATAATTGAAAAAATTATAAATTATTTTTAATAACTCGAAAAAATATCAAAATAATAACAAAGGCTCCACCCTTAATTGTGCAAAATATCAAAATTTACTAGTTTACCATTTTCTAGGAAAGCGATATCAATAGTATCAAATTTAACATCGCAGTATACATGGTACCCTCTTCCCTTAAATTACGCCTCCCCAATATAGTTTACTGCATCCCAAACTAATAACAATCGCCTTAAAGCATTTTAAAATAAACCTTCTGTAAAATCACAAATGCCCCTTCATTTATCCGAAAATAACTCACTTCATCGCTGTTGTGGGATTCCATCTCTGTCGTCTTTCAGCCCGGTTTCTGCTACCTATGAAGTAGCAGTGGACCGCTGTCCCTACCTTTCGCAATGCCCATCTCTCAGCGCCCGTTGCTCCTTCGCTGCCGTCGGCCCAACGGGTGGGTCGCGAGCCTTCTCACCCGGGTAGGCGGGGCTCTTCAGGTGAGGAGAAATCAGCCCGTTCACGAGAAGGAACCCTAAATAAATTCTGCAGTTCGGAGACAGAAAGGAGGCAGCCCCTCTACCGAACTCAACCTGTGCAGCGCCCGCAACCCGTCCAGGGGATGTTTTCTGCTACTGAAGACCCTGAAGAAAAGACGTCGGACCGATTTAATGACAACCGAAGCAAACGAAAAAGTTAAAGAACATGAGAATAACGGATGTACTAAATGTGGCAACACGGAATGTTCGCGGCACACATAATAAAGAAATAGAACTATTAAAGATATTAGAAGAAATAAAAACCAACATTGATGTAATAACAGAAACAAAAAAGAAAACAAAGGGAACAAGAAAGATTGATGAATGGGGATATGTCAAATAACTCTCCTAAATAACTCTCTCATTATAGATGGAAATGTAAATGCGAGAGTGGAAAACATACCTATTACCAATGTTTTGGGACTGAATGGAGAACAAGTAATGGATGAAAAAAAAAAAAAAAGGATTTGTAACGTACAATGAGCTAAGAATCACCAATACATTTTACAGAAAAAAGAACATCCATAAATATACTTCAGTGCCCGCGGACAACACTCAGTAATCTATTATGTAATAGTTAATAAAAAGTTAAGTTCAGACGTAAAGGATACTCGAGTTTTAAGAGGATATGACACCTATTCAGATGACTATCTAGTAGAAACAAAAATAAATATAAGAGCAAGATGGAAGAAACGAAGTGTCTCAAAAAATAAACCAGAAAATGTAGGATATGAAGTATATCTACTAGAAGACGGTAGTATAAGGGAGTTGAATCAGAGACGGTTGAATCAGTTCTTGAGTAATATCGCCACATCAGAAGATCTGAATGAAGAATGGAGAAACATTAAGGAATCAATAAGAAGAGTACTATATGAGGCATTAGGCACCCGAAAAATTAGGCGAAAAAGAAAAATATTGAAAATATGGAATGATAGGGTTGCAGAGACAGTGCAAAAAATAGTAGCATACCTAAATTATCAATAAAACAGAAATGAGCAGACTAAATAGATATACCAACAAAAAAGGAATAAAGCTAAATCATTAGTGAGACAAGCCCATCAATAATCTGGGGATAGATATGTGAGTATACTAGAACATGATGTATTTGGAAGACAAAGTATAGCCTACAAAGTGTTAAAACAATGAATATAGAAGAAACAGATACGACAAAATTGAATATTATTTCCGGGAAAGAGTGGTTGGACTACTTTGCAAAATTATGGAGTAGGAAAGAAGACATTTATACAGCGGACGAAGAAAAAGGAATAAAAATACATGTAGATATGTTAGATAGGAAAGAGCTTGACGGTGGATTAGAATGCCTCAAAAATAGAAAAGCCTGTGGTCCTGATGGGGTTAACGTAGAATTAATGAAATATGGAGGTATGTTACTGAAATTTCGCCTACTCCACTTAATGAGTGAATCTAGCAAATATGTGCAATACCAGATGAG